TTGACAAAACTTCAACAATATAACCTTGGCAAAACTTCAACAATATAACCTTTACCCCAGAAGTTGGGAAAAAGAACCAGAAAGAAAAATCTTCCAAAAATTAATCACAAAAATTTGTTTATGAAAGCAACACTTACAAAATTCAACACAAGAAGACTTATGGCTGTTGACAAGACATCTTATTTACATAGACTGATGCACTAATTTACAAATGGCCACATACTATAGCTATCATGACAAAAACCTACAGTGGCCACCCAGTATCAAATAATTTTTTCTCGCTGTGAAAATATTACCTATTCACTCTCTCTAAGTATGAGGCAGCATTATGCATAAAAAAACTAAACAGAAAGCTCAACTAAACAACAGAGAAAAAGTACGTAAATATGAACATAATAAATAATAGTAATAATTAACAAAACAAATTAAGGAATATGCCTCAAAAACAAATATGCTTGTACCGGTAGACAACTTTTATATTTTTATATTTCTAGCACACAAGGTACAAAGATCCCATTAATTAAATTGGACTTCTTTAAAACCAAGTATCCACCTAAATAGTTCTTCTGTCCAACATTTAGGGTTATACTTGTAAGACAAGGTTTTTATTTGCTTAATTTCATTTGTGATGAACCTCTGCTAAATACTAACTTGTTCTTCAACACTGTGTCCAATCTCCACAATTGATCCTCATTTGTTTTACTAGTTTCTAGAGAATAATATTGAAAAATAAAATGTCTAAGTTTGCAACGTGAGAAATTTCATTTTTCAGGTCTAGTTAATGAGATACATCATATTAGCCTACAGTTTTTATTCACAATAATACTCTTAAGTTTCACGCGTAACCTTTTAAGTGTAAAAAGGTCTAGTTGCAGGTTCTGGTACGGAAGGAACCACCTACTGGAGAGTGACTTGTGACAAACAAGAGATATATTTAAAATCCCAGTATTACACACTTCTCACGTAAGATCTGTAATGTTATAGAAAAAATGTCTAAAAAATAAACAAATTTGCAAACATTTATTTAGTAAAATTATATACTACCATGTGATTTAACGTATGCTCTAAAACACAGGGTAAATTTGAAAATTAGCCAATTTTATTTAGGTCAGATACCATGTGATTTAACATATGCTCTAAAACATAGGGTAAATTTGAAAATTGGCCAATTTTATTTAGGTCAGAAATTTTTATTTTCTTGAAATTTCAGGCAACAGATTTTTTTACTAAGAATTTATTTTTCACTCTTATCTTAAATTACCTCAGTTTGATGAGTAGAATTCGTATAATTTAAGATAAGAGTGAAAACCCACAGTTTGATGAGTAAACTTTGTCAATATCTTGTAATCATTTTCTCCAATTTCTTTTTTTGTTCATAAAATTTTGAAGTTTTGTTTTAAAATGGGAATTTGTTAAATTGAATGGCACGGGAGGACTAAAATACTAATCAGAGACCCATGGGAATCGGGTATAGTGATCTCTAAAGACTAATCAGAGACCCATGGGAATCGGGTATAGTGGTCTCTAAAGACTAATCAGAGACCCATGGGAATCGGGTATAGTGATCTCTAAAGACTAATCAGAGACCCATGGGAATCGGGTATAGTGGTCTCTAAAGACTAATCAGAGACCCATGGGAATCGGGTATAGTGGTCTCTAAAAACTAATCAGAGACCCATGGGAATCGGGTATAGTGGTCTCTAATGACTAATCAGAGAAAAAGCTACCAGTAAGCAACACCTGCTGATGAGAGATTTGTTCGACTCTTTCATCAGCGTAATCGGATTAACCATCCATTTTATTACTCATACACAACTGCAAGCGTGAAACATGCTAAGGAGCATCAGCTATCTCGAACCCCAGACCCTTCAATCCCCCACCAAAAAAGAAAACCACTTGGCCTAAATAATGTACAAACTCTGTGTACTTTAGTACTTGGTTGCTAGTAACAGATAAATTTATTTTCATATAAAAACTAAAGTGGAAGCAATCTGCCATTCTATGGAAAACAATAAAACTCATAACTACAATACAAATCAACTATGATGAATATTTATGTAATAGTTCTTAGTGATCTAACCTTCATCTGCAAACCTATTGAAAAGATTTGCCAAAGAACAATTTTGGTTTTCATAATACTGTCGGAGCTGAAGTACTGTAAGTATGGCTTCTGAATAACATGTGGATACATCTAGAACTTTACACAGGAAATGTTTGGAAACTGAAAAAAATATAAATCATATAAATAATTTTAAATTTAAGAAAATTTACTTAATCTTAGCTCTCAGAATTTTTTAACAGTTATAATAACAATATATATTAATAAAAAAGCACAACACTTTAAAAAGTAGCTAGATGCAGAATCGTCGTATGAAAATTAAATAAATAGTACCCACTGTAAGTTGTTACACTAAATATTTGGCAAGTGTATGTCAAATCCAAGTTTAATGAAACTTAGCTAATATTAACATTAATCAAGGGGAATGTTTATTCATATAATACCTCACCATGGTTATTATAAAATTATTTAAAAATACAAAATAAAATATACGATGTTATAGATTACAAAAACAAATAACCTAACAAAATGAAATCACTATATCAGATTGTTTTCTTACAGATAAAGTTTTCTTTCTCACTAAAACTTCTGATAAACAACAATAAAGTAATCTAAGAAATTTTGGCTTAGTAACCTTCATGCCCTTGGTCTCGTTCTCAGATATCTAAAAATTCTTCGAATACAAAACAGCATTCGGTTACTTTAAGTACTTAATTTTACAGAGATACATATTGGTTTACAAAATACCTTTAGTGGACAATTGATGAGATTTTCTGTCAAGTACATTGTCCAACATATTAGCCAACAGAGGTGTTACCTGTTCTGCACTCACACATAACACTTCCCCTCCTCCAGAACACCGATCCCATAACTGCTGAAGTTCTGGGTATTTACTTACAAGCATTCTTCCTATAATAATGAAATGTTATTATATTTTACACCCAAAGAACTGGAAAAGTCAGTAATGTTGTTACAAAATGGTTATAAAGCATTAGTGCAATACACTAGTTCTAAAGTAAAAAAAACATGTTACATGTGCTATAAACTTTAATCAGTGTCTATCTAGCTCTACATCAGTTCAATGAAAATCAAGCACTGGGCTTAAAGTTGTACATTATTGTCATTAAAACTCACCAGGACAAAGCCTTCTATTATATCTCAAATAGTAAATAAAGTAACTGAAAGTTATCAAGTCTAAGTTTTCATTTCTATATCTGATTAAAAATTCATAACTAAATCAAGTAGATGTACAGTTAGATTAATTTCTTGAGAAGCAAACTGCACACCTTGGTGAAAACCTGACAGATCCAGCAAATGCTTAGAAGTAAGAATGAACTTTCAGTTCATAACCGACTTTGAAGCTCTTGTAATGCACTTTAAATGTCTTACTTTAAAAGTTTTGCTGGTAACTTTAGAAAGACTACACTCTTCCTACTTTTTCTCTTGAAAACATGCCCAAATTTGTTAAAAATGAGCAAAAATCTCTGCAAGAATGTTCAGTAGCATTTGTTCTCCAAGAAAATTGTTGTAAGACAGAGGGAAGTGAATCGGAAGTGAGAAGATGTCGAGTCGAGAAACTTGGCAGAAATGGTAAAGCATTTGCGTCACTTCTTCAAAGCAGCTTATTTTACAGTGGAGATGTGGTCAAGATTGCTACTGTTTGTAATTGGTACATTTAATGCATTAAATTTAATAATAAACTTGAATTATGCTTCTATAGAAATCTATATTCTACATTAAGTAAGAAATAATAAATAATATTTTATGTAATCATGAAATACTTTTCTAAATCAGGCTTAAGTGCTTATTCTAACCCTAGTATAAACAGGAAGTGGCATGAATCTGAAAAGAGTGGAAAACATAAACAACAGTAATATCTTTAATCTCGACAATGTAACTAGATATTTTATTATTGTATATCTTGGTTATTAGGAGAAATAAGCCAAAATACTGAAAATTTTATTAACAATACTTGTCTTGTAGAATTTTGTCATGGTGCAAGTTTTGTTCAAACTCAACTATTTACAATAGCTATTGCAGTAATGATATACAGGTTATTCTATAAAATATTTATATTTTTAACATATGGGAAAGTTTAATATAGATTTAGTTTGTTTTTGGACTACTAAGTTAGCATGCTGAGTTTGGTCTGGATCAATAAACTCTTTAAGAGGAGATGCATCCACAGACAGACAAAGTTTTCTCTTGATATTCAATACTTACCACACCAGTATGGCTTAATATGTATAGCACATACGTGAAGAACACCTGTACCCTTATTTTATACTTAACTCTGCCAAATGAAGCTTGTCAGAACTGAATAATTAAGAAATTGTAAACAAAAAAACAATTGCAGTTAAGCATAATTTAGTCATTAAAACTTATCAGGACTATAAAATTTTTTTATTCTGTCTTAAGCAGTAAATTCATTACTTAAAACTTACCTGCACTTAGTTGTCTATGATTTCTCCAATTGTAAAGTAAGTCTAACAAACACTTCAGAATAGTAGCTTGTCTTCTAAGCTTATCTAATGAGTATACTTCTCGGCATTTCAGTGGTCCACATGAACCCAAATTCTGTAATAAAGAGAATTTTTGTATAATTTTCTGTCGTATATAAATATTTTTGGTGATCATAAAAACTCCTAAAAGTTTTATGGAGTTACCTGTTTGTAAAATGAACACAAACAGCTTAACAAAACACTTTGAAATAACATTTAATGGTGCAGTTCATAGCAAAACAGCTAAAGAAAATTTCCTGATACAGCTCGAGGAGTGATATATTAATTTAGTTTGTTGGTTTTGTACAAAGCTATTTGAGTGCTATCTGTGCAAATGATAGACTAGAGAAGGCAGATAATGAATCCGTGTCCTTGTAATGTACAACTTAATTAAGTGGTTGTTTTATGGAAACTTAAATAGAAAGGGAGACAATGTTTTTTTCAGATAATCCCTAAATAAATTCTCAATTACGAAAAAATACTCAATTGACACAGTGTCCTCAGAACTGAATACACAGACTAAACATAAACACTGAGATATACCTTAACAACATACTATACAATCAAATGTAGACTTATTAACACTGCATTAGTTAACTTAGAACATGCAATCCACTGATGTAGAAAACAGAACAGTTTCGGTATGTCAGTATTTTTTGTTCTAGAACATTCTCAGTATATAAAAGACTTAAAATGGTTCCTATACAAAAAAGGTAGAGTCAACAATTGTCTTCACAGCAATATACGTTTAAAAAATAATTAATTAATTTAAAAAATCCTTAATTACTACAGTAGAGTATAAATGACCCTAAGAATTTTGTTTTGTTATTAATTAATTTTCATATATTTTATAATACTGAGATTTTTTATATCTTTATCGATGTGTGGAAATATTTGAACACAGTAATAAACCTTTTACACAAATTAGTTTTTCTAGTCCACTAGACTAAATAAAATAAAAATAAATCGCTCAAGTAGGTTAAGAGCCCATTTCTTTCAAACTTGGCCCTTATCTACTCCTAGTCCCAACATAGATCATTTTTACAAAATCAGTAGTAAAATATCCATCTTTATCATCAAACGTTGGTGAATTTTACAGATTTTGATTATTTTATTGGCAATATGAAAATAAAATTAAATCTTTAAGTTAAATTTACAAACATTTCTCCAGACTGTTACAAAAAAAAGTTGATAAAGGTGTGATTATCATGATATGGTGTAAAAATAATCGATTTAAATGAAGCCCTAAAACAATTGAATAACACTATGCTTTACACAACGCATCTTCAAGACGTCCCCATTCCTAGATTTAATGAAATTTACAATGAATGAAGTGACTGATGCTAAAGATTTGCCTTGTACCACTACACTCTAATACAAGAAAACTTCAGAACTCCCCCATTTATTTTCTACCTGAAACTTATAAAGATGTATACCCAAGCCATCCTGTTGTATCTACTTGAAGCTGTGCAATCAATACATTTTGTTATTTTACCATTCTTTGTCACCAGCTCACTAACATACATAAAAAACATTGTTCATACCATCTTCATTATTGAGAGTATTCATTTAACAATTAATAAAAACAGTTTATTTACCATCAGCTTCAAATTACTCAACATTTGTATTCCATGTAGTTAACGTGAAAGATCTGGAAGATCAGAAGCTCACGTAGTTTGTGTTAGCTTTTTATCACTCAGCATTAAAAACACCATCATTCTCTGATGACAACATTTCTATACAAGTCAACTATATAATAACAAAATTACACTTCAACAGAACCAATTCATTCAAAAACTTACAGTTTTTATAACTGCATAGATAATGTAGTAAAAACAATGACTATAAAGACCGAAGATATAAAATACTTTTACTAGAAGCCATTTCTTGCTTTTAATGTTCTGACAAAAGCAACTGCATTTACTTTTAATGAAGTTCGAAGTATGATAAATAAAAAAAACTAACACGTTTCTGTGTCAAAATACTATGTGAACAACCACAAATATATTATAATGAACAAGTACAATATTCTTTCTTGCAGCCTAGCCACTAATTCAATAATTAAGGCCCACCTATAATTACTAACCAACATGACAAACAAAAAGTACTTTAACAAACAAGAATATTCCCAACACAAGAAAAGAACATTAGGTTACATGGATTTGTGAAACAAGCAGACGAGTTACTTTAAAAACATTACATATACAACTAACCATAGAAAAAATTCCCATGTGAAACAAGACTAGATGCATCACTGAATAAACCTATAAAACAGCAGGTTATCCATAATTACATATACAACTAACCATAGAAAAAATTCCCATGTGAAACAAGACTAGATGCATCACTGAATAAACCTATAAAACAGCAGGTTATCCATATTAGACAGGCAATGAAAAATTAAGTTGCACGATGTTGTAAAACAACCAAGTATCTATATTAAAACATCATACTAACAAGAGATGCATTATTCAAGACTTCTCCTTTGAATGATTTACATAGAATCTGACTTTCACATACGAAAATATGTTTACAAAAATATATAATCTACAAACCTTGCAACCTTCACACTTCCGTTTTAAGTATTTATCATTCCATATTATTCATTATTAGTTTTAAATGTGCATATATATTTCATGACACATAAACGTATACAACTGTTTTGAAAGTTTTAAATAATTTAAAGGAATTTTACTGTACATGTATTAGCAGATTTTATCTTGTCTTTTACATAAAACTGAAGATTAGCCTAAGGAGCTAAGAAACCAGTCCAGAAGAACAATTACATTTTTAAAAGACTACAGAACATTTGTTTTATATACTTGTATGTTCACACACTCCTCAAACGTATACACTGGAGGCTTTGTATACATATTTTTTTATATTGCATTGTACTTTTGTGCTGCTGTTAAAACTGTTCTACAAATATGATTGTAACTCATTCATTACGAATATATGAGGCCTAGTTTGGCCGGGTGGTTAGAGCACTTGACTTGCAATCTGTGGGACATGGGTTCGAATCCCATCATTAAACATGCTTCTCCTTTCACTAATGGGGTGTTATAATGTGATGGCCAATCCTTTTGTTGGTAAACAGAAGCCCAAGAGTTAGTGGTGGATGTGTTGAATAGCTGCCTTTTTTCTTGTCTATCATTTCTAAATTCGAGACAGCTAGCACAGATACCCCTTGAATAGCTTTATGCAAAATTCACGAAACAAACAAAAAAAACCAAATCTGAGTTTTATTTTTTCTTTTCTTTTATACCACTTACTATTTATATATGACAACAAGCAATTCCTCCAAATGTCATCTTTAAATGATCTTTCATTAAATTGTGCTTTACATTTATGCATCTGCTGTATAACAGAACACTTTTTAGGTACACGTATGATACAGAAGACTTAATGATAAGGACCATTTTTTACAGTAGTGATCTATTGTGGAGGTGGCCACAAGGATGATAACACCTTTGAGAGGTGATCTAAAAGTACAGTTAGCCAAAGAATCAACTGAGCTTTCTTTAATCAAAGGGATACTACAATATCCTATAGACAGTTGGAACAGCAGTTTAGTGAAAATTAAACACCCCTTCGGTGGTGCTCAACTGAATAATAATCAGTTAAAATGGAACACTATTAACATTGATCAACTGGACTGGTAATTATAGTGAAAATGAAACACCCCCTTTGGTGGTGCTCAACTGAATAAT